TTCTCTCCCACTTTCACCGATTTACGTAAAAGCCTTTTGACTCGGTTGAGAAAGAAGGAGCATGGAAGTTTGCAAAGATATATCGCGAGCATAAAAGTTTTACAACAAGAATATCACCGTTCCACAACGATATTAACGTCGACGTTTTTGGAGATGTTAGGTAAGTTGTTACTACTTTTCCTATTTTATTTATTGCCACTTTCGAAAACAGCATGCGAATACTGGAATGGGACAATGTGGGAGTGAAAATCGATGGTCGGAAACTACCCCACCCTCGCTTTGCTGATGACATCGCCCTTATAACACAAAAAATTAGCAAGACGGAACGAATACTGCTGACCTTGAGAACGCCTGTAGAAGGTCTGGTCTCCGAAAAAATTTCGCAAAAGCGATGTACATGAGGAACAGTTTGTTTAGTATGCCCCACTCACGCTCAACGGTGCGAACGCGCAGTCGAAAGGACGATGCTAGGAGTATCTCTAATCACGCAAGTGAGGGAAGGGATCGAAAGATCCCATCTATGTCAACGGTCGAAAACCTAAAGACGCCGTTTTACACGCCAAACAGACGAAGATAAGTTGGGACGGATACGTAAAGCGTATGAATGGCAACCGATGGACAGGAGCCGTTAGTGACTGGATTCATCGGGACGTCAAACGTACTACGGAAAGACCACCGATTCTATGGCCAGAGTTATTCACGAAAACCCTAGAGGAAAGTTATGGTGTTCAACGTGTCGCTAGAGCGAGCAGAACCCACTGGGCTACTCTTGCACACGCGAAGGAAAATGAAAGATTTACTGGCGCCCGCTCGAGTTCATCGTGTTGATTTCCCGACCTAGATAGATATTAATGGAGCATTCGGCCAATATTCGTTCCGTTGAGCATGAATGGGACATGCGAAACCATTCCATTCTTCATGAGCATCGTTTTTATGAGATTTAATCGAAGTCCAATCTTTCCACAGGCTTTATCAAGGTCGGCAAGCATACGTTCCGCTTGGCTAATGTTTGGTGTTATAAGGACGATGTCATCAGCAAAGCGAAGGTGGTTTAATTGCCAACCATCGATTTTCACTCCCATATTATCCCATTCCAATGCTCGCTTGGCGTTTTGCAAGGCAAATAATGCTGGCGAGATGGTACCGCTTTGCTTGACTCCTCTTTTGACGTCAATGTTAATATCATTGTAGAATGGTGATATCTTGGTTGTGAAATTTTTATACAGCTCACGAAGCATCTTTATGTATTGAGTAAGGACTCCTTGACTGTCCAAGATTTCCATGACTGCTTGTATCTCAGTTGAGTCGAAAGCCCTCTTTGAATTGTTAAAAGTGAGGCAGAGCGGTTTTTTGTACTCTCGCGATACCTCAATGAGCCCTGTTATCGTGTGGATATGTCCATCATACTAAATCTTTTTCGAAACCCTGCTTGCGTACATGGCTGCCCTTCGACCAGTTTTCTGTCAATCCTGTCTAGGATGACTCGAGTGAGGAGTTTGTAGACGACAAACAGCAAGTAGATTGGGCGAAAGTTGCCGATATCGTGGAGGTCACCCTTGTTGAACATTAGCGCGGTCTTGCTGGTCTCGCATTGAATAAGGACCTTGCATTCAAACAGGTGACGTGTGAAGAACCGAGCCAATGTGTTGATGAGAACTGGTGGAATGTTCTTCAAGTGTTCAGGTCTTATCCTCTCCGGACCTGGAGCTGTTCGATTTTTCACCGACGTAGTGTCATGTCGGATTTCGGAAGGAGAACTGGTGGTATAACCTACCTATCCTCCTTTATTTCAAATAAGGGAAGGTGGACGTGGCTATTGAAGAGATCTGACTAGTAGCCGTGAACGACTTTCTTCATTGCCTTCCTGGACGACGTAACTGTTCCGCCTGAGCGTCGGAGCGAAATCATCTTGGTTTTATAATTGACGAAGCTTCGGTGGGCATCGCGACTGCTTTCTCCAGTCTTTGTAGCTTTGACAATAGCTACTTCTCTTCTCGCTTCAATACCTTTCTGCATTGTATTGTTTCTGCCGTATCAGCTCGAGTGGTTCCAGATACAGACGTCTCTTGGTGACTTTCGAACTATCAGCTTTCATAGCCCTAACGTGAAGATGTTGAATGCCCCGATCGTACTCATCGTCGATGTTATCGACAACGGTATCTTCCCAACAACCTACTAATAAGTTGAATAAGCTTCAGTTTACAGTGGTTTTAGGACTTCATTTTTTTGAATTGGAATCTTGCACGAAAAAGGCGGTGGTTTGATCCCGAGTAGAATTTTGGGTCAACAACGACATCGGTTAAACGAAACCTTCGGTTTATGATGTGGTCTATTTCGTTATGGTACTGTCCACTGGGATATTCCCACATTCAGCGTTGAGGGTAGGAGATCTGGAATAACGAGTTACCGTGGATGGACTTGATCGTCATGATAAACTTAGACGTTCCTTCGTTCCTTCGTTATTCAGACGTTCTTCTTGGTCCAATCTTGGCGTTGAAATCTTCAATGATAACCTTGAGGAATGTGTGGTCTTCTCTGTAGAATTTCCCCATGTCCATATAGAACGCTTCGACTTCTTCTTCGTCATAGTTTGATGTCGGTGCGTAAACGATGAAGATTGTCAAAGCCGGAATTAATCCACATTTTTTTAATCATAATCGTCTGATTCGGGTTGTAAGTTGTTCGAATGAATCGATGTTCGTGGACAAACTCGTGCTGACGAGAACGCCGACTCCTCTACTGTCGCATGTTCCGAGGAACAGTTCTTCTCCGGTGTCATACACGGCGTTGAAAGGCTGGCGTCTCCTCATCTCGGCCAGGCCGATGACGTCGTACCTTGCCCTCCTTACTTGCACGAGGAAATCTTCTATCGACTATTCGGATGCAAGTGTATGTGTATTGTGGGTACAGATCGTCACCTTAGTTTCTTGCAATCCTGGCAGCTTCCATTGGCCCTGAGATTTTAGCAGCCTCTCTGTACTCGTCATACCCAACGCTACCGAATTAGAGGCTCTTTCAGGGTCAGGAGAATGAGGCCAGTTTCCTCTACTGTTTAGCATTTTGATGTTCAGTGAGTAATACTATAATAAAATTAAGAGTTCCTTGGTTATTCGGAAAATATATTGCGTACCTGCTGTACAGAGATATGACATTTTTCAGCGAGTCTAATTTTTTCTCTTTCACTTGGATACGGGTGAGCTAGATGATTGTCGTAATATTCTTGTAAAATAGCTACAGCTTCTTTGCTAAAATTTCGACGTCGTTTCCTGAAATGATGAAGGATTTTTATGGCTTAGACCTCCATTTAAAAATAAGAGAAAGAAATTAGAAAAACACATACGAAAAGACATACGTCGCTTCGATGATTCTGGTTTGAACAAGCATCACACCATTCGCTATTGTCTGTTTTGTTTCAATTTCAGTGATTTCTTGTTTCCAGCGAATAGATTCAAGAGCGCGGTTCAGATCCTGTAACGGTTTCCTTTAAACGCCTGAAAGGCGCTCTTTATCATTTTCCACCTCTGCTTTTTTTTCTACCAAACAATAACGAAAAGCGAAAAGTGGTACAACACATTTTAAAAAGGTTATAGACTATTTTGAGCTCAAGAAACATAAATGTTAGTTGAGAAATCGTTTTTGGTGCTTCAAGTGCTGTGGAAAGGATTTTGAAAAAACAACAAAAATACCATAGTAAAAGGAACAAAAGTTATGCGACGCGACATATGTTGTGTATTTCTCTATGCTTCCTGTTCTGTCTCTCATTCTTCAGCTAGTAATGCTTTCACATTTATGTGCGGGTTCGGCTGCATACCAGGTTGCCAAAATTTAGAAAGATCCATGGTAAAACGTGTCCTATCAAGATCGCACACAATGAATACGCAGAGGATAGCTGTAAATAAAAACTGAAAAAGAATGTTGTATGAAGATGTTTCGACTTTGTCCACTTCAAAATCATTTTCGACTTTCTTGATGCAGAAGCAATTGCGGACTAACTGAGAGAAAAAATGAATCTCTAGTGAATGCAGAGAACTGCTTAGCAAACCGAGAAGTAGCTTCATAACTATTTCGTAATTCTGAAACAACAAGAATGTGGTGACCGAAAAAGGTGCTGCACCTCGGTACTAGCGATACAGCCTTCGGCAACGTTGAGTTTCACATAAAAATCTTGGAAAATTAGGGTCAACCAATTATTGAAGAAAGACAGTGAAGTTTAAAGAACTATTTAAAAAAGAAAAATGTACCTGGTGATCGATCGGTCTTAGCATTTGCTGATTCTTCAGTACTCTGCAGAAATCGGCCTTTATTTGTTCACAGCCCTGCTAAGTGGTGATTTCAATTGAAAAGACCAATGGTGTCCTTTGAAAAGGAAAAATTTTCTGTTTGAACGCAAAAAAAACCCAGCGATGTGCATTTGGGATCGAAAACTTTTCGCTTCAAATGCAAAAAAAAAAAAACAAAAAACTCAATGGTATCCGTTGTAAGCGAAAACTTTTCACTTCAAGACTAAATAGCATGTCTCTCTACCTGGACTAACCTTAGCACTTTTTTGAAGAGATTCGTTAGTTCTATTTCATGTTCTCACAACGAAAATAGCAATTCACAGCGATATGGAGGAGAATAGGAGAAAGTGCGAACCTTTTCTAGCACTTGTACTCCACTACCAATGAATGGAACATTTTATGATAACAATAATTTAGAGTTGAAAGACGTTTTTGAACGATTATTACTACATTCATTAAAGAATAAAGCGTTTAGCGACAATCAATCCATGTGGTGCGCGCTATGAATTCGACATCACTCAGCATCATGAAGGTGACTGAACGTATGTTTGAGCGACACCATATCTTTTTGTACCTAGTTAGCCGATGCAACAAGTTAATGTTTTTATCCTCTCAAACAAGTTTGGCCTCAATATTTTAACAACGGAGTGTTGGGGAGTTGGTTGCTTGAAGACGAGAGAACGAACCAACGACGGCGTGTGGATTTGAAGCACTTCAAATCATTGAGCTACATGCGCCCTACATTTCTAGTGCAAACTACAACCATTGTTACAAACCTGCCGCAATTCAAGTAGATTAGAATGTAACAGACTCCGTAATTCACTCATCTTTTCCACATACACCTTTTCCATTTTCTCGGTTTCTTCGTCCCTTTCTTCATCTGGACTGATTGGTAGAACAGGATTGTCCAACAGTCTCTGCAAATGTTCACAGTATCTTCGTAAGATTTTGGAGGACTCCAGCCGTTGAAACTTTGTTTCACAAAAAAATGTTTGGGGTAGCAAACTGTATTACGTGGGCTAATTCAAGTTTTTGAGTAGTTCGGAACAATAATGCAATAACTCACAAGCACCTGATTGATTTGATTTGACGGTGTTTGCGTTTCGTAGAGTGTTGGATCTAGTTGAGCTCCTAAAATCGGTATTTCGGGAATGAACCTAAGAATTGTTTTTTTTGGACTTCATATCACCGCTGTCTTTGTGTCATCATTCGCAAAACAAATAAAACTTTGAAAGTATTTTTTAAAGAGAACGCTCATGAGAACTTTCAAGGTTGCAAATTTTTCATCTTTATTCCAACATCTTAAGTTGATCTCAAAAAACGCACATGCTAACATTTACTGCCACTTCAGGCCGCTTATGGCTGATGGTGGTAACGATTTCGTTCAGAACTCAATAGCCAATATTTTGAATCGAAACCGACTAATTAAGTCCCTCATTCCTCCGAGGTCATGAAATTGGTATTGGTCGTGCTTGAGAAAGTCTTCATTCAATCAACAATCAATGACGCCTATGGGTGATGAGGATCTAAGAACGAGATTTAAAGGACTGTTGGGATTGGAGATGAGTTGCCGGATCATGCAGAAATAGAAAATATTTCACTTACTTATGAACTCCTTTCGCTCCACGAGCACCTCCATTAATGCTTGTCGATATTTGCTGTTAGCAATTTCATAACTGTAAATGAGGGAATTCGTATAATAATATTTAACAATATCGACATATTATCGTATTATTACATAATAATATCATCTTAATGTTTGCTTTTTATTTTCTGCTTCTGCAAATTTTACGGCAGAGTATTATGCGAAACACAACCATAACGATGCTAAGATATTCGCAAAACTCCAGACCACAGGTGTCTGCGGGAGAACTAAAGCGCTATTACCCTTTCCGGGGCTAACGCGTTCACAACCACACCATGTGGATCCTCTGTTCTGCCTGTCTCTCAGCTAGTTCTATCGTTCTCTGCTATCACCAGTCACCCGTCGGCGAGATTGATCTGGGAAGCCCACATCGGCATTGAACCCAGTTAAGTTAAGGCTGTAGTCAAAATCACAATGTTCATTTTCTATTTTCTGCTACACAATTCAGCCAGCTGTAAAGCCAGTTTTAGTAAGTGAGCAATGGACAATATTTTTTAGATCATTGAGGTTATTTGAGTCAGTGCTGCGTACCTCTGCAAAACCGAAACAAAAGCCAGTAGGGGAAAGAATTTAAATACGCTTTTGAGTTTACTATTAGTTTAAAAACAATTTTAAAAAGTTTTTTACAACTACTGAAGCCCAATGAAACCTAACCTTCCATCATTTGGGTCAAACGGTTTTACTATCTAGGAAAGAAACAGCCTAAACGTTTAACATGAGGCCTTATTTCTGCTTTATTACTTTATTACTATTGAGCGAGCTTTTTTTACTTCCTCTTATTGACTTAGTGAGTGAAGATAATTCTCACTACCGCCTTTCTAGTAACGTCGGCGGCATTGACTCAACAATTCTTTGTACCTTCGGCGGATTTAGCCTTCCTCAGAGCCTGGAAAGGTCAAAGTTACCACAATCTACCCAGCCATACACCTCCGTAACCAACAAGAATTTGGAGCTGGAGATTATGGAGGTGTTTGACATGACAGATAGCTGTCAACTTGACCTTTACACGCTCTGAGGAAGGCTAAATCCGTCGAAACGCCAGCTTGTTAGTAAATAAAGGAAATAATACTTTGTCTTTGTTCAACAAGTGTATAAAAGAGTGGAGATAATGTTAAATAATATTTAAAAAGAAGATGGAAGCGTAGCAAAACATTCGTCACAAAAAAATTTAGAATGAATTTTCGCCTCAAATTCAAATCGTTGTACTCAGTTTGCTAATGTTTCAATAACAAAGTGTCCGTACATCGTAAAATCTGTATAAGGTAGTGAGATCCCTATTAATGTAGTTCTCACATATTTGATATTTGAATGGCCCGACCTCACTGGGAGCCTTGTGCGGGCCCCAGCATAATCTCCATTTTTTGGAGATTTGCTGATTAATTATGGTTTCCTGGACTCCCGAGGTCAACCTGGCCAAAACCTGCCCCAGGTCTTCACCACCACGGGCAGTCGTAGCCCTTGTGAATCAGAAGGAGATTTGCCACCATGCGTATAAGGCAGTGAGATCGCTATTAATTAACTTTGATACCAGGACGGTGGTAGTTCCTGGCATTGGTTTACTCTTTGCTGGGCTTTCTGAAGAAAACGCCGGACTCCTTCTCAGCCTTGGAGACCACACGGGGGAGATGAATCCTTTAATGTCCATCGTAGCCCGACACCCAGGAACACCTCCCAGCCACGATGAGGCGGTAAACCGTTGGGAGGAGTTCTCACATAGCTAGTTAGTTAGCTTTCACATGGCAATAAGGAAATTAAGAAGTTTATAATAACGCAATTGGGTTGTGCATTAATTAGTAACTGAACTGGTACCGAAAGCAATCACCCGTCAACGGGATAGATCTGAGGAGCCCAAATCGGCATTGAACCAGTTAAGCTGAGACTTGGTTATTATCACAATCTTAACCCTTTTATTTACCGCCTTTTTCTTCTGTGATTGTGTTTATAACTAAGCCTCAGCTTAACTGGGTTCAACGCAGATTTAGGTTCCCCACATCTATCCCGTTGACGAGTGCTTGCTGATGGCAAAAAGACCGATAGAACTAGCTGAGAGACAGTCAAGACGAAGAACCCGGATGGTGTAGTGGTGAAGTGCGCTGCTTCCCGGTAAGAACAACAGCGCGTGTTCGTTCCCCACTACATACACCTGCGGTCCGGAGTTTTGCAAATATGTCAGCATTTCATACGAATTAAAATCTGTCTCTTTGTTTTCCAAGCGTTTCTGATTGTTACCTTTACTATTAAAACACAATTCATCACATTCAAATCAGTGTGCGGAACATGAAAAAGTCTTCAGGTTATACAAAATCACGTTCGCCATTCGTTCCACTTATTTGTTTACTTGTCCAATTTTTGTCAACATCTACTTAAAAAATTGTTGTTGCAACCACAATTACTCGCTTTAAATGTAGGTGGATTAAAACTAGAAATCAACTACAGAAAAAAATTTTTAATATTAGTATATATTGAATGTTGGTTAATATAAAAGAATTGTATTGAATGAATAGTGATGAAAGGAAAAATGAATACTATGGATAACCGCTAACTAGACGTATTGTGCTTCTGTCGGGCTGACGTTCATCGCATCTCTGACTCTTCCGAGAAGCGCTTCCATATTTGTATATCCCTGTGTGTACATTAGTATGTAACCACACTTCAATAAACGATCGGTTCCAATGAGGTTGGCTCCTATTGATTTTTCGATTAGTTATGTATGTGTACCGATGACAAAAATATTCTCACATTATAATTAAATATTCTAAAAGTGAATTATTATCTAAAATAAGTCTTTCTGATGTTTATGAGCTTGTTATCAAGCAGAACAATAGGCGATATGATTGTAAATATGAAGTGAAGGAGTTACTGAGTGAATTTAACCACGTAGAACTTTCGCAGTAACGTAATCAGGATCAGGTGTGGTGCTCGAAATCGGGATGAGTCAAGTCGAACATGGATTTGGTAAGCAATTTCGTGAAAATCATCTCATTTATTCTGTACCACTATCCAGCTCAATGTGATTTAACAGCTGGTGAATACAGGGTCCTTCTAGGAGGGCCATTCGAGCTAAAAAATCGACATTTCCTTTCGTAAACCTAGCTAGGAGTGTTCCTAGCTACGGACGAAGCCAGTGAAATAACGCCAGCTATCTTATCCTCAGGAATTAAAAATATGGAGAGGTCCATGTAAAAGCAAGGTGTTCCATAAAATCCTAGATCGGCTAAAGCTCACTGGATAGATCCTTTATGCGGCAAGCTCGAATAGGCCTCATTGGCATCAATGCGAGTTTATCGATTATGAATGAGATTACTTATTACACAGGTGATGTAGTCGATATATTCAAAAGCTTATTATTGATCGTACAGCAGGCGATTAGAGCAATCTCTGATTTGACGTGCCTAACTACCGCTAGTAATGGATTTTTGTATGTGTGAAAAGAAGTAATAGTCAGCTGAAATTCGAAGAAAATAGGCCGACCACAAAACGTGTATAGTGACAGATTGACATTTGACCTTAGCACTATCTTTTATTTGCTTTGCAAGCAAGCTAATGTGATTGACACAACTGAAATGCCAAAACCATACTCAATTGCTAAAATCAATACCGTGCTTGAAAAGTTGCTGCTGTATTAGTTATCAATGGAAACATGTACTGATAAGACTTTGTTATTTTCAGCATGCTATCCTGTTGTTGAAAAGAAAAACGAGAAGTGTGAACTCAAATTTATTCTCGATCTTCTCAGCCACTAGCGTTCAATCAGTTTCATTCTTTTCTCCATCATTCTTTCGAATTCCCTCGGCTACCCTTGATAAGTTCTGCAATTCTATTGGGACCCATGTAACCCAGAGGTTGTAGATGTACTAGGGCATATGGTCCGCCACTACTTCTATAAGCCATCTCCTGTCGACCACGTTTTCTATCCTTCAGGTGTCAGCAGATTGGTGTAAGACTTATCTGGGACACACCTCGGTTGACTCTCATAACTCATTGCATATGTCAAATATTCATTTATCTCCATAACGTTGCGAATGAAGTTGAATACATGACAAATCACATAGAAATTGATGAACACTGAACACTTTGTGCTTTATCCAATTTTTTATTTTACATAACCCGTAATTACATCTACTTTTGGGATCCTAGCAATTCTCGCAGTTGATTCGTTTCCTCGCATCAAACAACCGCAATGGTCTTCAAACATTTCGCGTGTTGTTTCAGCTGCTTGAGATTTTTCCCTTCTTTATGAATTTAGTATAATCCTGCCTGACCCAGCTCCCCTCGCAATCAAGATGGCCAGGCAAATACGCTCCCATGTGGATTGGAGGCGAACGTTTGGGAGAGGATCGAACTAGAGCCTTTGCTTCTTAATCGACAGCACCACTAGTCACTGCGTGATCATTACCCTATCTTGTTGTCCATTCATCTGTATCATCTGTAGTCCCGTTGATCGTCGAGTGACTCGAGCAGGCGCCTGTAAATCATTCATTTCTCCCTGTCGCATGCAAATGTAGCCCAGTGGGTTCTGCTCGCTCTAGGGACTCGTCGAGCATCATATCTTTCTTCAACGCTCTTTGTGAAAAACTTTGACCATCGAGTCGGTGGTCCTCCTGCAGTACGTTTAACATCCTGAGGAATCCAGTCACTAACGGCTCTTGTCCATCAGTTGTCATTCATACGCATTACGTGTCCGGACCATTTTATCTTCGAGTGTTTGGCGTACAGAACGACATCTCTGATTTTTGATCGTTGACTCAGATCAGAGCTTCGGATGCGTTCCCGTTCTTGTATGACAGGAGATACTCAAAGCATCGTACTTTCGACTGCGCATAAAATAAAGCTGAATGCT